CATAGCAATTAAGACAATGTAGGAATAGATGAATAGAGCATGGACAAATTAGAGAAAGCCAGAACTGTCCCATGTAAGCCAGGAAATTTTATCAAGATAACAGGTATTGTAGACTAGTATAGACTATTTAACAAATGGTACTGAGGAAATTGAACATCAAATCAGAAATACACATTGAACCCTTACTTAATGCCACACAACAAAAATTAACTCCAGACCAAACAATAACCCAAGTATGAAAAGCAAAACCTTGAAGTTCTCATGTGAAAAATAGGTGAAAATCTTTGTGACCTTGATTGGGTTTTCTAACACCAGAGAGAAAAACTTGATAAATTTGTCAATCCAGGTCATAGGGCTTTTTTAAAAAACAGGAATAATTTCAGTGGAGCCATATAAGCTGAGTCTCAATTAATGTGGTTTGAGCAGTAAGCAAGCAGTCAGGAAGTAAAGACAGAGACTGTTGACCCTGTTTTGGGAAATATCAAAGGGAAAAGAAGAAATCTGAAGGCACATAACATTTTGAAAGAACATTGGCCAGTAGGAGACTTGGATATGAGCCCCTGGTTGTCCCGTTTATTACCTGGGAGGCCTTGCCTGGACCCTTAGCCACTCTCTCGTCTCATAACCCGGTAGTCCTTCATTGATACCATGCTCCCCACTTCTTGAAAAATTTAAATCATTGCAGCACAGAGTGCTCAGTCTGTCTCTTCTGTACATCCAAATTTGTTGAGGGAATTAATTGAGTTCCTCACGAATCAGGGCAAGCCGACCCTTTCATTATACATACGACATGTATAATTATACACATGATGTGTAATTCTGTTGCTTGGTAGGTGTCCATCCATTCTCCATACTCATTCTGCAAAAGACTTAAGATGGATATAGAATCAGAGAACTGAAGGGGACTTTAAAGAATCCAATCCTGTTTGTAGAGAAATGAGGAAAACGAAATTCAGGTGAACGACTCAGGGTCACATGGTGAGTTACTGACTGAGCTGCTTCTGGAACTCAGAACTTCCGGTTCCTGACCTTGGGCTCTCATATATTGTGCTGCGTTCTGTAGTCTTCTTGACCACCCCAGAGTAAAGGGCACTGTCTTCTCTCAACACTGATTCTATTTGCTGTGTAACATCTCATTCAGCACTTATTCACTGTGTAGCTTTTCCTCTGTGTAAGCCATCTCTCCAGTTAGGCTGCAAGTCCTGTAAGGACTTGTTTTCTCTAGGTACATATTAGTAGGTGATATCTGAGCACGTCTCTCAACCTCTATTGACCTTAGTTTCCCATTCATTAAATGGATATGGCAGTTACATCCCAATACAAGTACCATTATAATTAAAATCTGGCTATAATAAATCTCACTTTTGACCTACTTTTTTTTTCCAAACCATCTTCATGACAACAAAATTTTCAATGAAATAATATAAACAATATTGTATAGAGTTCACCTCAACAGGATTGAACTTATAAAATACTTACTTTATGAACCCCACAGGGATATTGTGGGATAGAAAAAAGTAAGTACATGGAAGCATTTGGGAATGGAAAAAGCACTGTTCAAAGAGCAACAACTCCTGGACAGGTCAGGGCAAGAGAGGCGTCTCTCCTGTGCTTTCCACAGGTTCATTCCGGACAGGCACCGTGGTTGTCCTGGCAGACACCTGATGAGCTTTAGTAATTGGCTTGGAGCGTAGAGGAAATTGTGAAGTAAATGCTTTTAAGCACAGTTACTAAATTAAGGCTATTATGGCAGATACAATTCTGCATCAACATGTTCATAAAGAAGTAATGGAAAAAACTATAGCAAGAAATTTTAAAGCACCAAAAATTACACTATGCCAGTGATGAAAGGTATATTAATTACTTAACAGAATACATCACTTTAAGTTGTTGTTAACCCTAAGTTACTATAAAATTTTTCCATTCTTACTGCTACCTTTTTTTTTTATTCAAAATTGTTTTTAAGGAATTTAGAAACCTGTAAGAGGCATTCACTCTGCCCTGTGCCTTTTACTTGTACAAATGTGTTGCACATCGTAAAATATTGCTTATTTCCGTTATCGATCTCTAGTGTTTCACACTTGTCTTTCTGCCTGGTAGCCACCATGTAGTCCACATTTACTGATTGTTAGAAGGGAGCAGCTCAAAAGTGCTCATGTCAACAATGCAGGTGACTGAGTCCCAGACTATATTTCAGAGTTAGAGAACTTTGGGTTCACCATAGAAGTAGCCACCCAAAACCATTTGTTATTTACTGCCCATCAAAATCTGTACGCATGTAGGTCAATTCATGAGCCCTTATTTTTAGCACATGAACTAAATCATATCAGTATGTCAACCACTGAATAGTTGTGAGTGATCATTCAGAGAAATTTTATAGGTCATAAGAAAATTTCCCAAATATGCCTTTATTTGAGAATGTTAGTAACAACAGGCACTCATTAACTTACATTAATCAAGAATCTGAAATACATTTTGTTGTTTTAAAAATTATAGGTTTGGAAAAGGAAGAGAAATAGGAAAAAATGCTCATGGTCTCACAACTCAAAGACAATCATAATGACACTTCAGTGTATTTTCTTCCAATAATTTTCTATATATTTTTTCTAAATTTTAATGAAAATTTCAAACATACAGCCGTTGAAAGAATTTTATAGTAAACACCCATACATTCAACATAAATTCTACTATTGAAATTGTACTATACACTGTACTTGCTTTGTCACATGGTTATGCATTTATCCATCCTCTAGCCTTCAACAATCCATCTTATTTTTAAAATTCATTTCAAAGTAATTGCAGACATGTTAAAAAGAAAAACACATATACACACTGGAATATTATTCAGCCATAAGAAGAAAACAAATCCTACCATTTGCAACAACATGGATGGAACTAGAAGGTATTATGCTCAGTGAAATAAGCCAAGCGAAGCAAGACAAGTTTCAAATGATTTCACTCATATGTGGAGTATAAGAATAAAGAAAAACTGAAGGAACAAAACAGCAGCAGAATCACAGAACCCAAGAATGGACTAACAGTTACCAAAGGGAAAGGGACTGGGGAGGATGGGTGAGAAGGGAGGGATAAGGGCGGGGAAAAAGAAAGGGGGCCTTACGATTAGCATGTATAATTAGCATGTAGTGGGGGGCACGGGGAGGGCTGTGCAACACAGTGAAGACAAGTAGTGATGCTACAGCATCTTCTATGCTGATGGACAGTGACTGTAATGGGGTGTGGGGGGGGGACTTGGTGAAGTGGGGAGCCTAGTAAACATAATGTTCTTCATGTAATTGTAGATTAATGATAACAAAAGAAAAAAGAAAAACACAGACCCAACATGGTGTCACTTCTGCTAGGCCATGTCACCAAACCAGGGCCCGATACTTAAACCCAATTAGAGTTTCAACCTCCCCCAGAAATTAGTCAGTCAGGGATTTTTGGCCGGCATCATTGATAGGATAATCTATCACATGGGCTTCCCCATCTTCCCTAAAAGATGAGGTCACCTGCATTATGAGACCTCTGCTCTCCCCACTAAGAGAAAGTGACCTGCCTGAGACAACCCCTTCTTTTCTTTTGCTAATAACTTTGCCCACCTTCCTGTCCATAAAAACCTTCCATTCTCTACAATTCCTCAGAGTAGCTCTCTACCTCCTAGAGGGCATGCTGCCCAATTAATGAATTGCTTAATAAAGCTAATTTGATCTTCAAATTAACTTGGATGAATTTTGTGTTTTAACAGACATTAGCATGCTTCTCCTAAAAAGTTCACCATGCACATCACTAATTAGAGTTAAGTATTTGGTAGTTTTTTCTTCTGAGGTCAATTTATGTACAGTGAAATAAAAATCTTAGGTGTACAATTGGTAAGTTTTGACAAATACATATGCATGTATAACCCAACCTCTACCAAAACTTCATTTTGTATTTTTCATTTTCCACTTAACATTATAATGTAAATATTTTCCTTGTTATTACAAGTCTTCATGAATGTCATTTTAATAGTGATGGCTGTTGTTATTTTAAATTTAACTCCTTAATTTATCTTGAGATTATGTTGGTGTTTTGACTTAAGTTGGAGGTTTCAATAGATCCTTTTCCAAGTAGTTAACCCTACTGTCTCATTGACATTTATCATTTCTTTGATGTGAATTGCTTCCCTTATAGTCCTAATTATCTGATCCATTCTGTTGATCTTTGCGTATATTATGGCACTTTCCATACTATGCCGTGATATTCCCCAAAAGTATCAATAGCCAAAATAAGTGTTGAGTTCTTGCATTAGACAAAATGGGTGTTGTTTTAGCCTCTAGGGTGTAACTGAGGCCCAGAGCCTCAGTAGCCTCAGGCCCAAAATATCTCCTGGTATGTTTTGAACCCAGGTCTTTCACCTTTAGATTGCCATACCCAGAGGTTGGTGGAGAGCATTATTTTTTCACAGGCCGAGTCCTGAGCCTCAGGCTTGTAGTATTTCCTCTTCCTCCTTGCGCACTTTTCCTCAACTATGCTCAAATGGTCTAGACCACATGAGTCAGTGTGATGTACCACTGCATGCTTTCCTAAGATGCAGAGTGAATTTAGAGCATGAGTATCTCAAGTGCATATATGGATATTAACTGACCTCCTCCCAGTTAAGATTGTCAGTATCGGTGTGCTACTAATACATGTACCATGAGAAGCCATGAATCTGTGCTTTGATCTGATGTGTGTGAGTCAACCGACCTGAACTGAGAAAGGAGAAAGTCCACCAATAGCAAAATAGTAGTTATGATCTACCAGAGCTGCGCAGCCTAGGCGGGTGTGGATGGAGAGGTAGAGAGCTCCCTACTGCAGGCTTTGCTCGAGCAGAGCTTGGTGTCAGGAGTGCCTAGGAAAGTATTCTTGCTCTGAGGGGTGAGGGTGAGAGTAGATTATTTCATGTGTTTCTGGATTGGTTGATTGTTGCTTTGGCTTTTGAATTAATTACAATTCAATGCAAAGCTTTCTTGTTTTAACAGGAAATAAAGGAAAAAAAGAGATTCTGCAAGATGTTTATTGAAGACCTTGTGAAGGAAGCCACAGAAATCAACAGGAAGAACGAGGCTTTACAGAAGCTTTGGCCGCAGATGTTCATTGAGCTTGTTAGGGACGCCGTCATGGAAATCCGCAATAAAGATTCCTATATGAAGCTTTGCCTACAGCAGATAACTGACCAAAAATAGGACTGAGTTTTAGTTTCAGTTGATTATAGTGGTTTTGTGTTTTTAAAGGTTGGAAATACGTAGGTTAAGCATGTTAAAACAGCACTGTCCTACAAACTAGAAAGACTAGAATCAGAGCATCATTGCCTACAGTTCTTGTAGTCCAAGGTAGGGGAACAAGGAGAGAAGTGGGAGGAAGGGGGCCCTCATTTCCTGCAGACGCTGCCCAGCCGGCCTTTGGGAGCTGAGCGGTGTTGAGAGAAAGCTCAGACCTGGCGCCGGCGCTGCAGCCTCGCGCGGGCTTTGCTGGGAGCCTCTGCTACAGCCCAAAGCCCGCGCTGTTTGCTCCTGGTTCCGCAGGAGCTGCTTCTACCGACTTGCAGCTGATAATATCCAGTTATTTGCCTTTTTACTTTATGCCATGATTGCAAAGCCAAAAATATGTCCTTTTTATGAGTGAAGACTAAACTTACTAATAAATTAGTAAAAAAAAAGCATATGTTTGCCTCCTTCATCCAGTCAGAATTCTCATGTTTATTGTTTGTTCCTCTCTGGCTGAGTTGGAGCCCTTCTCTTCACTTGTGTGGAGAGGCTCCTCTCTCCTAGGGATGCGTCCTCAGGACACCACAGGAGTCTGGGGGGCACTCTGGGCAGAAACTGAAAATGAGTCAAACTGGGGCAGGAAGAAAATGTTTTGTCTTAAGGGATCCCGAGAGAATGTAAAATGCAGTTACAAACCCGTTAGGTCTGCTTCTCCGCAAGTCGATTCTTTCGTTAGCTACTCTGGGGCTTTTTTTCATGTAGGCATATGTAACGGTACCTCAAAAATATTAGAGATTCATGGATGCAAAGTTGTAATTCCATTTGAAGATCAAACAAGGGTTTGTCCCGGTTCATGCTGGTGAGGAAGCTGTTTGGAGCCTGTTACCATAGCTAGAGATGATACAACTTCAGAAAAACGATCTTATGGGTCAATAAAGAGGAATTCTCCAATTTGCTCAGATTTCGCCTGGTGGTTCTTATGAATCAGGACCACAGGACGTGAGAACTTGAGAGTGGAAGTTATAGGACAGCAAAGCCGTACAGAAATGCTTGGAAGGAAGCTAGGTAAGCTGCTTTCGCAGTGCTGAGAAAGGCTCACACCCTGAGGAGCCCCTGGTCGTCCTTCCCCGAGAAGCAGTGCTCAAGTTTCAGGGGGTCAGCACAGTGTTTCCGAACATAGCTTTTTAAGTCACTGTCCCAGTTTACATCTTGATGCTTAAGCTACCAACTCACCAGTTTGTGGTCCAAATGGATCTCAGTTTCTTCATAATAGTGCCTACCTCAAAAGATTGTTGTGAGAATCAAAGGACACAATGCATTAAAGCATTTATCATAATGCCTGGCCCATGGCAAACATCCAGTAAATGAAGCTGTTCTTGTAGAAACAGAAATTGATATCCCAGGACAGAAGGAACTATGAATATTTCAGTCTTTCTAAATTGAACCATGGACCATCTCTCGTCTGGCTGGTAAAGGGTGGCCTCTCCTGGGGTTTCTGTCTTGTTTGGTATAGAAATCAGATCCCACCTTCAGGGTGATGTTGAGTAGAGAAACAAAAATATCTTATTCATGAGCTTCTAGTAAATAAAAGTAAGAATTTATGACTCTTTGAGCATGTGGGCAACTGTTGCTTACTCCAGGCTTTGCAGATAAATGACCTGGCTGTTTAATAATTTGTCTAGCTCCCTGCATGCTGCATTTTCTCCCCTAACCTTCCCATCCCTGATGCTAAAGGGACTTGACCCTCACATTCACATGCATTCTTGGCCCTCCCCCGTCATGGGAACTTAAGGAATCCTGGGTCAGCACTCAGTGGCTTGGCAACATGCCTAACCAGACCTTCTGCTTCAGGTCTAGTACCAGCATTTCTTCCTGAAACGGAAGTTCCTTACTCCCCACCTCTCGCCACTCGGTCTCTCATCCCTTGGTACCTGAGCTCCTTATCTACCCCCACGATCCCTCCTGATTGACTTCTACTTCTCAAATCCTTATTTTGTCTGGCCCCAAACTCTCTATGGCTGCCCTCCCATCTACTTCCTATCCCCTCCAGCTCAATTTTCTCCCAAGCCATTTTTCCTGCTGGAGTTCCTAGGTGAGGATAATCCCCAGATGAAACGACAACGGAACCTCAGCCTCCTAGGTCTGGAATCAAGCAAGGGCCCTGTGTTGTTAGTGGTTATTCCTAACAAGTCCTCTCTGCTTGGGCTTTTCCAAAGTCTTCAGGGAAGGGGAAAAGATGCACACCCCACAGTCAGACTGTCTAAGCTAGTGTGTGCTGAAGGATTGCTTTTTTCCAAAAGGAATCTTAGGCAGAAACAGAATATTGCGGTTGCCCCAAAAGCAGAAATGTCCAGTATCCCTTGTTTGGGGAGAACTGTGTCCCCAGTTCTGGTTCGGCAGTTAGATGCCTTGGTGTGCCACTAGGTCTGGGGACGGTTGCTAGGTGTGCTGCTGGGTATGAGGCTAAGTAACTGTGCTGCTGTCTAAGGATGGTGCTGGTATCCACTCCCCACTTCCCGAGCCTCACTCCACTGGAGGCCTGGCATGTGAGACAGTCAGCCTTACCCTGCTTCTGATCTGTTCCTGACCAGGGCAAGGAATACATTGGGATTAATATTCTCCACCACTGACTGATAACCATAACAACTAAGATTTATTGAGCAGCATCTTGACTGTCCTAAACTCTTTACATGCATTAACTCATTTAATCTCCTGACAGTGTGATATACCTAGGAGAGTTACCTCCATGTGAGACAGAGAGGTGAAACACCTCACCCAACAGTACTTCAGCCAATAAACAGAAGATAGGATCTGCATCCCTAACTACTGATAGTCTTAAGGATCTGGCATCTGCGTGAAATAATTGAAAGAATGAGAAGAAAGGAAGAAGGAAAAGAAGGGAAGCAGGACAGAAGAACAAGGGAGAGAACAATCTGGCTAGTTAGGCAAAATGCAAAAGAGAGTACTGAGCGACTGCTCAGGAAAGTAGTTTAAATCCTGAATAACAAAGGTTAGTTTTCATAATCTGCTTTTATAGGTCAGCTGGAGATGGAATGGTTACTGTTGCCAAGAAGTTCAGAGCCAAGTCTGAAACTTAATCACAGCAACTGTGGCCAACCAGTATTGATGAAATATTTATTGTCTTTGATCCTGATTTTTTACTTATGTTTGTATTTTCCTGGCTCACTGTTCCTCTTGCTGCAAACCACCTTGAATCCTTTGGGGAAAGAGGATGAGGATACGTAAATGAGCTCAAGTATACTCAAAGCTCCAGAGAATAAATGACTCCTCTATTTCCTGGGCAATGGGAAAGTTCTGCAGTTTATCCTCTGGAGACAATGAAACTATTAATTCCTCACACCAGTTAAGCCTGAGTTGTTGGAGAGTTGACTTCTCTTGGTTTATCTTGAAATATTTGAACTGCAGAAATGCATGTAGAATAGTGTCTCAAATAAATGCCCTGCACCAAGCATAACAGATAGTAATATTTTTCCACACTTGCTTTGGGTATTAAAAATAAAACGTTCTAAGTAAACATGGAATCTCTATGTACCTCTTTCCCTCCCTAGAGGTAACCACTATGCTGAATTCGAAGCTTACTGTTCATCCATGTTTTCATACCATTCGTGTTTATGCACACATAAGGAGTTTATTGAATTGAGCTTTTATATTTTCAAATTTTATATAAATGTATCATGCAGCATGTATTTTTTTTGCATCTTTTTTTCACTCAGTATTCTGCTTCTGAGTAGAGTTACTCAGAAACATTGTTGATGGGAGTAGCTGGACTTCTTTCTTTTTACTGTTGTTTGGTATTCAGTTTTATGGCCACTGCACAATTTTTATTATCCATTTCCTGTTGGTGGGCTTTAGGTGATTTCTAGTTTATAACTATTACACACAATGCTGCTTTGGATATACTTTGTTCGCATGTAAGTTGTAGGGGGGTACACAATAATGGTGGAAATTTCTGGGTCATACATGCACATTCAATTGTATTAAATATTGTCAAATTGCTTCCTGAAGTGATTTGTGTCAGGTTACACTCCTATAAGCAGAAAATACATGTTCCAGTTGTTCAACATATACAATGAAAATTAGATTTTCATACTTGAAATCTGAATGCGTAAATGTGTGTGTGTGCTTGAGGGTGGTTTTTGCACATAGGTTCAAGGGCTTTTTTTTAATGTGCAATTTGTATACACTGAAATTCACTTAAGTGTATGATTAATTTTGAAAATATAATCAACATCCCAATTATGATATAAAATATTTTAATCATTTCAGAAAAGTTTTCTAGTCAACTCTTACCTATAAGCAACTATTCTTCTAATTTCTTTCACTACTGATTGTCCATTCTAGAACTTCCTATAAATGGAACAATACAGTATGTACTCTTTTGTGTAATGCTTCTTTAACCCAACATATGTTTTTCAGAATCACCTATATTGTTTGATGTTATCGGTCAGTAATTGTTTTACTGCATACCACAATTTGTTTATCCATTCTATTGGATTAATTCTAACCTGGGGCTCATGAATAAAGACAATTTTTTTGTGTAATGGACCTGCTGGGTCACAGAATTGTTTTAAGTTTAACTTTATAACAAATTGGCATACTTGTTTTCAAAGTGGTTGTATAATTTTACACTCCCTCCAGCAATGTATAGACAGTTCCAACTGCTCCACATACGTGACAACATTTATTATTGTGAGCCTCTTTTTATTTTTAGCTATTTTAATGTGGTTTTTTCAGCCATCTCATGTTTCTTTAATTGTACTTTCCCTGATGTCTAACTATGCAAATCACATTTTTCTGTGCTTTTTGGTCATTTCTCTATCTTCTTTTGTGAAGTGAATGTTCAGTTCTCTTGCAATTTTTTTAAATTTGTCTTTTTGTTATTGATTTACACAAATTGTCTATGTTCTAGATACTTTTGTTTTGAATTATGAGAGCTCAATTCATCCACTTGTCTTTCATGACAAGTGCTTTTTACTGTTCTCTCTAAAGTTGTTTGCATGCCCCAAGTTTACAAAGATATTCCCTTCTGTTTTCTTCTGGAAGCTTTATAGTTTTAGCTATTACATTCAGGACTATTATCTTTCTTGAGCTAATGTATGTAAATGCTGTGAACTAGGGGTCAAATTCCATTTTCTTTTCCATACAGAAACCTGCTTGTTCCAGGACAATTTGTTGCAAAGGGTTTCTTTCCGCCATTGAACTGCCTTGGCAATGTTTTTTTGAAAATCAGTTCACTTGTATGTGTATGGGTCTCTTTCTAGACTTACTATTCTTTGCCAGTTTTCTATTTTTACATAAATACCACACTGTCAAGATTACTGTGGCTCTATAGTAAGTGTTGAAATCAGATAATAGAACCCCTTCAACTTTGTCCTTTTACAAAATTGTTTAAGCTATTCTAGGTCTTTGCATTTCCATGCAAATTTCAGAATAGGC